GGTCGCTTTCCCTTGGCTGCTAACGCCTGCGTGGCCGCTCCTGGCGTTGTGTAGCGCTGAAGAGGCCTCCCCGGGGCTGTGCTTCTGAAACTGAAGAGGTCCGTGGGGCGGTCCCTGAGTGCTTTCAGGTTGAGTTTGGGTCATTTTAGGCCAAGCTGGCTACAAACTGACTTCAGAAAGAAACAGGGATGGTTTCCAGGGGATTTGTTAATCCTTCATGAAACTATGCAGCCACATTGGATCTGGTTCTTCACCTGAATTCATAGATCCCCCTGTTGCGTATAATTAGTGCAGATAAGTTCTGAAAGCAGGTCGCTTTTTTGGATCAGGGGTCTGGCAGAGTCTGTGCCAAGACAGAGCTAAAATGGCTTGCTGAGCTCCAGCTGACTTGCATAGCATCACTGAAAAGCCTCAACAATCCTTGGTCAATGAGCCAAGGCTAGTTACTGTCTCACTTCTTTTTAAAGGTGTTTCTGTCTGTTAATTTTGTTTTCTGAGTAGTAGTTCAGTGGCAGTAACTGTGTTCTGCCTGATGGGATGTTACTTGGAGCAACAAATTATTTCATAATTTTAACACTGAAGTCATATGTTTTGTGATCTCATTAAAAGTGAAAAAATAACAAATAATGCAAGCACAGCATAAGTAACTTTTACCTGTATATCACAGAAGCATATGAAGCAGTATCATGGTTTTTTCTTTGCTTTTTAATATTCTTTAATATGTTCTCTTGTCATCCTTTAACATCCAACCTTCTGGCTAGTACGACTGGTGCCTTTATGTATCTCTGCAGATGTCTCTCTCGTGTGTCTTATAAGTCTTTAGTTTGTGGTTAATGGATGTGCATGTCGTGGTGAAGCAGGAATGAGCATAGTTTCAGATAATAGATTCAAGATGGCACAGGTTGATCATGCGGGGTTTTTTGGCATTGGTTAACCATCTGAAACTCTTGGCACAGTGGTTTAGGATTGCAGGGTCTCCACCTCCTGTCTGGCAGTGCTGAACGTGGTGCGTGCTGGGGTGTCTGTGTGGCTGAGGCTGGTCAGAGTCTGCTTCACTCCTTTGACACAGAATAATTGATAGTAGCGATTTTGGGCATCAGCTGGTTCATTTTTTAGGATGTGCTGGTGGTATGTGCGTTCCTGCAGTTTCTAAATGAGAGCCGGTGCAAACTTCTGCATTTGTCCGAGCTTTTTTAGTTGCACTTTGTTTACATAAGGGTAAAGCTGTCTGCCTTGTGCTACCAGGGAAACATTGACCCTGGCCCTTCAGAAGGTTTTGCTGGCCAGCTGGAGCTCTGCGCAGGTTGGTCCCAAAGGGCTGTGCTGCAGTATTAATGACAGTGCTGTGCCTGTACTAGAGAACTGAACAGGGCCATGACGGGGGCTGGAGCGTTCAAGTTGTGTGATCTTCATCAGTATTTAGTTATCAACACCATCCTAGGCATGCTATGGTCTGTGTCAGCTGGCATTTCTGGTGATGATACTTAGATATGGTTTGGGGAATAATGGAGGTGTCATTCCCCAAGGGCAGTCATTTTTAGCTGTCATTTTTCAGGAGGGGAAGAGTTTAGTTACAAGACTGTACCACTTACCTTAAGGGTAGGAGACTGGCTCTTGGGCAGCTCTATTTACTTTATAAACATTGGTTCACTTTCTTGTTAGAGTCTGTGTATCATCTTCCAAACATGTTGGAAAGGACTGTCTTTTGAAAATCTGAATAGATTCTGTCAATTTAATTCTGTCAATTTAATTCTGTCAATTTAATTCTGTCAATTTAATTCTGTCAATTCTGCTCCTTAATTTTCGAGGGTCATGAGCTGAGTGATAGCTGGTATTCTGAAATGGGACTTGTCATTGCTTCTACAGTTCAGGAACAACGTAGCTTCTGGTAAATGTCTTTTCATTGTAAGTTGTAGTAATGACTGGTTTTATCCCTTGATGCTGTAGCAGTTAAAATGACGACAGCAGCGAGGCCAACGTTTGAACCAGCGAGAGGAGGAAGAGGAAAAGGTGAAGGAGACTTAAGTCAGCTATCCAAACAATATTCCAGCAGAGACCTTCCTTCTCATACTAAAATCAAATACAGGTTAGTATTGGTTTTTTTGGTCTTAGAGCAAAACAGTCTGGAAATTTTTTTTTTGTTATGAGCAGTACTCTGAAATTTTTCACAATAGATGTTGATGTGCTTGACACTGAGCAGGCACCAGAGATTGTGCAGCACTGCTGAATGACGGGGCTGAAAGTGTAAGTCTCAAAAGCAGACCTAGCAGATCGAATGCATTGCAAGTAATTGGAGACATCTAATTTTTAGTGGTACTTATTACTGCTTATGGAAGTGAATCATCAGAAGAAGGTGAGCTTGGGAGACAAAGCATTTCAGACAGTGGAGTGGAAAGCAAATAATTGGGAACAACAGGAGCTGACTTTGCTGCTGAGGGTGCTGTCACTTGCAGAGCCAGATGGGATAAGAGGTGTGAAGTTGAGCACATCTTAAAAGCAGGAAAATCACATCATGTGTTTGGCAAAGGACTACTGGGAAAGGCACATTAAGAGGAAGCAGGGAAATCATGGAATAGCACTCAGGCAGTAGTACATGTTGGAAGAGCTGATGTTAAACACTGCAAGTGGTTCGTTCATGCAGGTCCTGGGGGAGGAAATTGCTTTAATCAGTGTGAAAGATAATGGGATCTTATGAATGTTTTCCTCTGTTTGAAATACATAATAAATCTTCGTTATCCTGTTGAAAGATTACATGAAATGTGGAGTCAATGTGATACAGATACCTAGAATTTAAATGAAATGTGTCAGCCTAAAAATGTCTTTTTTCACGTAACTATTGTTACTCTGGTCAGTGAAATTACTGTTAAGGTTTTGTATTTCTACTTTTTTGTGCAGAAGCTTTACCCTTTCATCTCTTCCCTCCTGCCTTTTTGGTTTTGAAGAATACGTATGGATAAGGGAGTTGGAGTGATTTGGAGAATACCAAAACTAACAGCACGAAAAGTGTACAATACAAATGTATTTTGTTGTTATGGGGAAACATTGCTGGCGGTTTGTTTCCTTAAACAAAAGTGGGGTTTGGAACACCGGTCTATTGTTTTGAAAGAAGTGCATGACAAATATGTACAGAAATATACAATGTATGTTTTAACAAATCTGTCTGAGAGAGAGAGGGAGGGGGCATCAAGAGTCTTCTGTTCTTTCTCCCAAATATCTAATACAAAGTTGTCTTTGTTAGATCGCGAGGACTGCATCATTGCAGGAAAAGTTCAGTGTTTCAGTCCCACTCATGTTTGCTTAAATGACACAGGGTTTGGGGGGATTTTGCAGATAGATCAAGGTTCAGATTTTTAATTACAAAAGCAAATTAAGTACTTTATCATAAAGACAGGCTGTGCATACAATATATTTGTAATGGCTCAAGTCTGGGTTTCTTCCAGGCACTCTTACTTCCAGCACTGGGTTCACAGGAGGGTGAAAGGAATTGCTGCTTGTTTTTATTCATTAGTTCTTTTCAAGATTTCCACGCAAAATTCAGTGCTCTGTAGGTGGAACTTAGTGTGACTTGGATATAAATAGTCTGCTGCTTTTGGACAGTGTGTATTATGTAAAAGTGGGAAAAACATGTATTTGCAATACATTTCAGTAAAGCTAGTGTTTTGCCTGTTCTCCCAACTTTTTTTTTTTTAAGGTCATGGGAGAGTCTCTCATATGTCTCTTGGAGGGGAAAAGGCTTATGAAAAGTACGTTATAGTCTTGGTCTTACCTGTAAGTCTTAGAAACTGTGTTTGCAGCAGAAGCTTGGGAAGATAAAACGGTGAGGAAAGTTGACCATAATGCTGGTCGATGTCTGCTAGGACACTGGGCTTGGACTGCTGGAGAACAGAAGATTTAGATGTAGCTACAAGAGGTAGATGTGGTCATCCTGTTTTTGCAGGAATTTATGCAGCGTGTTTTAATTCATTTGACAGCCACTGGAAGGAGTATGTGTGTGTGTGTGGCATTGCATGTCTGTGTGTGTGTAATGCGTACAGAGAAGGGGGCTGATGAAGAGGGAATAAAGAAACTTATGTCTACATGGTGCCCAGTTCTTATTCTTTACGCTTGCCTGTCCACTCCAGGATTTATTGACCTCCTTCAAAAAATTGCTCCCAGATGCAGACTGTCAACTTGAGCTTTTTTCCCTCCTCATGTTGTTCTAGGCAGACGACTCAGGATGCTCCTGAAGAGGTGCGTAACCGTGATTTCAGAAGGGAGCTGGAGGAGAGAGAACGGGTTGCTGCAAGAGAAAAGAATAGAGACAGACCAACCAGAGGTAAAAACAAAGAAACAAAAAATCTTAATACCTTTGCATGGCATTGCTCTTGCACAAAACTTGGTGTTGTAAGAAGTGTGCAGGTTGCAGACAGCATGTCATGAGAGTAGAATTCGGGGTATTGGTCTGCTAGTTCAGAGCTGTTGACCTGCAAGGGAATGTCCGCTGGCTTTCACACTGGCTTCGTGCTAGCAGAAATTCTAGGGCAGCCAGTAGAAAAGCGTAGGCTGTCATGCAGGCCTGCTGATGCAGTGTGGTTGTAATGAATTGGCAACAAGTATGTACAGCAAATAAAGGGCGCTTTTTTGTACTTCGATGAGCGAAACAGGAAGGAGAAAGGGAATGACTCATGTTCTAGTGTTACAGCACCAGTGTGACAATAAATTCGTTTTTAAAGTATGCGATTCTGTTCAGGTGTAGTGTAAGTGATAATTAAAATGAAAATCAAAGGTTTTTTGATAAATACTCATTTTTAATATTACGCTTGACAGAATTTAGGTACTTTAGGTTTAGGTATGACAGTATTGTGAGGCTTTCAGATTCACAGGTGAAAGCAGATGTGGTTTGGACCAAACTAGACAACAGTAATGCTTTGGGATGGTCCTCAGTGGGAACCCTCCAACTGGATAAATAGAATAAGGATATTTCTCCACAGCTTTTTCTTCTGCTGTTCTTTCTTCTTGAAAGAATGACTTCAAAAAAACTTTTGGAGGCCAAATTGTAAGTTTGGGGACATTATTGCTTCCTTTGAGGGTACCTACAGGGGAGGAATTAGCATGGGCATTAAGACTGAGAAGTGAGGAAAAAGTAAGTATAAGCTTGTAGCTCTAATGCAGGACAAATTGTGAAGATTTTTGCTTTCTGACATTAGATGCTGTTAAATGAAGTGACGTAGTCACTTCTTTTTTTTTCTTTTAAATCTTATGCCGTAGAACACACAACATCATCTTCTGTGTCTAAGAAGCCTCGGCTAGACCAGATTCCTGCAGCAAATCTTGATGCAGATGATCCGCTTACTGATGTACGTATCTTTTTCTGTCTTCTTTCCTTTCATTGTCCTGCCTTCAGGATTTGCCGTTAATAGAGTATGTACTTTTCTTTAAGGTCTGCTAAAGATTTAAGACAGGTTCCAACATAACTGCCTTTTACAGTTATTCTGCTGTGGTGGAAGTCCAGAGTGGTTCAGAGGATTCTGGTCCATGCTGTAATGGTATTCTTGGAAAGCACACAAAAACTAGGGAACTGAAAATACCACTTCAAGTATGGGAAATGGGTGACGTTTTAGACTTGGTCAGCTACTGGGTTAGTTAGAATTCCCCTAAGGTAGAACTGTTGAGATACACTGTCTGCATGAGCAATGGATTCTTGCTTTTGGCTCCTCTCCTCATGCTGAGGTCTAGAAGTTACGTCTAAGGCTTGACAACAAGCTGAGTTGTTTTTAATCCTGTTATATTTGGTCCCAACAATATTGGACAGGGTATTCGGGCCCACTATTATAATGACTTACATTACAATGATTAGAAAGTGATTGAGGGCAGTCGTTCTCTAGAATCTGTCAACTATATAGCATTTGAATTATAAAAAAAAAAAAATTCCGTCTTCCAAAAATCATGAACATATTTTTGTATTGACTTTACTGTACAAGAGCAAATAAACCATTTGTACTGTATTTGCTGCTGCTACAAGCACCCAAGTACTTCAGAAATCAGTCAGCAGCAAATTGCAGCCTTAGCTGGGCAGACCAGGACTGTTTTGGGGGCTTTTTTTTTTTTTTTTTTTTTTTAATACGAGACTTGTCTCTGCAATAAACTAAACTCTTCAGAACTAAAAGCTGGTTTTGTTAAATGAAATGAACGAACTGCTTATTGTTTCCATTTGTTACTATTAGGAAGATGATGAAGATGAGGACTTGGAAGACAGTGATGATGATGACACTGCAGCTCTTCTGGCTGAACTGGAAAAAATCAAGAAAGAACGAGCTGAGGAACAGGCTCGAAAGGTAAAATCTCACCCATTAAAGAGCATCTGTTTTTTGCAAACTGGTGTTTATTAAAACTGGTGTGCCTTAAGTACTTAGGACAAGTGAGACGTGGTAAACAAAGTAAGTGCCTTTCAACTCTTCTCATGTAGTCTGATGGATTTGTTCTTCTATGTAATAAATTGTCAAGAATTTTTTTTCTTTAGTAGACATACTGAACATTTTAATCACTAAAACATTTTATTCACTTTCCCAACACTTTGTAGAGGCATTGAGTAAAGATGATCTTGCTTTTCATACGCAAGTCCTTCTATGAAGACAAATACCATACCAAACCATATAGTGCAATTAGTGAGCCACATGCTATCCAGTGCAATTTCATTTGTTAACTAGCTTTTATGAAACAGGAAATATGATTTTTTTAATTTATGAAATAAAAATGTGTACTTTTTGATGCTTTTGCTTATGGCTTGCAAGTTTCATACAGTGGTCGCTCTTTCACAGCGTTGGTGCTGTGTTGCTTTGGCAAGGAGCACCAGTTGTGACTATAAGACCAGAACTATTTTCTTGTACATGTACACAGGTGAGTTTATTTGAAAAATGTCTCCACAAAAAAGAATTAATAACATGGCAGTTAGTCTTTTCAGAACATGGAAAGTCAACTCTCATGTAGCCTTCGTACCTCCCTATAATCTCTCTCTCTCTACAATAGAAACACCATGTTCTACCCTTGAAAAGGGAGGGAATTCCCTGTAGTTAGAGATTGTTTTCCCATGATCAGGATCAAATCCTATGCTGTTGGCTCCCACACCTCCTTGGTGTAAGAGAGATTGTTGGGATGGAGTGCATTAGCAAAATCCCTGATTGATGAATGGAATTCTAGGGGCTGGTTTTGGGAATAGTCTGTGTTGTCAAACTGATCAGGATTTAGGATGAACTGTACTGCCTCTAACATTGCATTGCAACAGAGTTTAGAGTCCAGGTACTTCATCTGCACTACTGAAATGATCTGCCTCAGGTGGTGTAACAGAAGTGGGGGACATGTGCAGCATTCCCTCTTCTGCTTTTAGTAAGGACTTTCTTTTTTTGAGTAGGGCTTAAATCACTTTAGTGCTTTTGAAAAATGTTGCATACTTCAGTTTGAGTAGTTTTGTATGTTGTTATACCTAGATTCTACATTAGTGTAAAAAAAAAAAACCAAACAAACAAAAAAACCCCAACAAAAAAACCCCACCCCAAACCGAAAACAGCAACTCTGTCATCTTTGTATAATGTAGTCTGAGATGTTTTTAGAACATGCTAAACAAACATGCTAAATGCTGATCGGGATCTTTGGTGCTGTGACAACTTAATGTTTTGGTGCCTCTGCACTACTAATAACGTTATCATAGCTTAACACACACACACACATTTGTTTTTCACAAATGCTTTCTAGTAGAGTCAACTGGCAGTGAACAGGGCAAAGCATCTAGCAAACACTAGGAACAGCCAGGAGAGAACATTTCAAATGCTGTAGGCAGCAATGTAGTGCTTGACCACTCTTGGCTAACAGTATAGAAATTTATGTTTAGAATCAACAAGGCCTGTAAAACCAGTGACCTCTGCAATTCTGAAGTTAAGTACCTTGGAAGGCTAAAAGCTGTACCATGCTGCTTCAGTGCAGAAATTTTGCTGTAGAAAACTGTTGATACTTGATTCTCCATGTGGCCTGTGAGTGGTCTTTTACCTTAAAGTGTCTTTTCACCTCTTTATCTCTTTATGCATTTGAAGCACATCACACAGCAATGAAGTTGTGTTCTGCAGTAATAACATAGTGAAAATTACTTTAAAACACTGGCAACAATTATTGCATGTACTCCTGTGTGAAATGTACTAAACTACAAATTAAGGGTAGCAACCTGTAGGCAAGACTTCTACTTCAGCTGTTCTTGCACAGTGCTTAAAATGAAAGCTTAGGTCTGCATGGATTTTTCACTTTGCCTGATAGTTGAAATTATACATCTAGATTAAACAGCATAACTTGCCACATTTCAGTGTAGCCAACTTCATTAGGAAAATAGTGATAGTCAATTGCAGCACAG